GTGTGTGTGTGTGTGTGTGTGTGTGTGTGTGTGTGTCTTTCGTTGTTCTGTTTTGTTTCAAGGAGGTAGCCTTTAACCTTTATTATATTCATAACCTTTATTATATTCATTTGGTCTCAGCGGGGCTCGAACTGAGGACTGTTCGTTGACTGTCGGATGTGTGTACCGTTCAGCCACATCGGTCGGGGGCGGAGCTAAAGTTTTGATCACCGGAAATTTGCTGATTTCTTCAGGAATTTTCTATTTTCTGAAAAAAAAATTGAAAGTGAATTGCTGGCATGCCTGGGTCTGCATGAGTGTGGGTGGGGACCACGTGGAGAGCGACCAGCATAGAGATATTGGCTATGCTAGGCTGCGTCTCTAGGCTGCTCGGTGGGGAGACCTGCATCGGACTGTTTCTTCTCTGAAAGGAGTGATGTCCCTGCCAGCCTGGATCCACTTGCAGGGGTCGAGTTTCGTAGAAATGTACTACTGTGTGACACACTATTTGCCATTGGAGCTTAACAGATCCGACGCCCAGACACCTTTGGGGCTTCGAAGAAATTTATTCAAGATGTTAAAGGACCACTACCTTTCTCACATGTTGGGCCGCGGCCTTCTGAATTCGAATTCGGAGGCCCTGTGCTGCTGATGAAAAATATCATCGGCTGCCAACCGGCGATTATTTTCAAACGAGGCTCAGCTCGCGACTTCCCGTCACAGTGAGAAAGGTAGTGGTGGTTATGAAGAAAAAAATAACAGAAGTCGACAAAAAGAATAGAAAAGTCTCTAAGACTTGACATTGGCGATGTGCCCACAATCCTTTCTTTTCCTGCCCAAACACCCGTCGTCTTCGTTTCTAGCCGACAAATGAGTAGGCTAGAAATCGGCTAGAAAGGACTGCCTCGTTTACTTTCTTCCGTTGTTTGTTTGCTCGTGTCTGTGAAGAAAGCTGTGGGCGGTCTGTGTCGGTTGGTTAGACGTAACTGTCATGTCTCTGTTTCCTCTTTTCCCTCTCCATGCAAAACTGATATAGCAGATCTTGTCAGGCAGCCCACTAATCTAACGGCTGCGGAATCAGTGCAGATAAGATGCAAGCTGTTCATTTTTTTTTCTTTTTCCGGCTGGGTCGTGGCTGTTGCACGACTGGCGTCCCGCCCTGTTTTTTTGTTTTTTTGTTTTTGTTTTTGTTTTGTCCTTTCCTGCTACTTGCCACTTGCGCTGTGGCTTGTGGACGCGAACGCGTGTAAGCAATAGCCGGAGGCTTGTGGACGCTAAGGTGTACAAAAAGAAAAAAACGCCCACGCTAAAACTGGCGTGCTGACAAGTGATAACCGGAAACTAAACGAACCTTTGCCCCGCTAGTGGAACCAGGCCCGTGACCTAGCACAGGTCATTAAATTAAGAAGATAAAAGCTGTGCACAAAAATGTGGAGAGGGAGGAGTGTGGAGATGGTGGCTATGCTAGGCTGGTCGGTGGGGGCGTGTGCATCGGACTGTTTTCCTTCTCTGAAAGGATTGAAGAAAAAAAAAACAAGAAACAAAAAAAAGAGATTAAAGCTGTACACGTGCTCATAGGGGATCTTTTGGCCGGGGGTGAAGACGACAGCAGACTGCCTAAATTCTGAATTCCAAATACGGAAAAGAGTGTGTCCAACAGCCTGGAAATAATGGCAATTTATTTCTTCCAGCAAAGCCTGGATGATTATTAAAAAAAACAAATCAATCTCATAGTACAGTGCATGAGGGCCATCCACCGGCCTAGCTCAGTTGGTAAGGCACGCAAGTGGCATTCTGGAGGTCTTGGGTTCAATCCCCATCGGCCTCATGTACCTTCCTGGGCATGCTTGGCGCCCGCCACCTAGAGATAGCCCGTTGGTCCTCCCAATTGGCATTAAAAAAGCAGTGTCTGCTGATGTTCATAGGGGGAGGGGTAATCGGGGAGGCACAGCGACTGGCCACTCAGGTGATGCTCGGTCCCTCTGCTACCGACTGTCCCCTGGCCGGTGTCCCCCATTGGGGGCTCCCTCAAGGCAATCAAGGCCACCCTGCGCTGAAAAGGCCACCCGATGTCAGATTAGACACAATAATACAATATTGAATTTACCTGGGTTGGTTAGTCCGATGATAATACCTCAAGGCCATCGCCCTTAAAAAAAAAAAAAGAAAACCCTCCCCCTCAAAATTCAAATTAGAGGCCGCGGACCTCACACTACTCCCGGGAAACTGTATTGGAAGCGCCATCCAGCTTAGCTTACAATCTTTTTTTTTTTTTTTTTTTTTTTTTTTTTTTTTTTTAATCTATGACCTGCAGCCTGTGGTCTTTCTCTACCAGACCTTACAGCTCTGTGGCTGCATTTCTACCTCTACCCTAATAGAACTATCAATCTACTATGGCCTACTGAGCTACAGTCCTGCTAATAAACAGCCCCCTCTTACCAATACCAGGCTCTAAAACTGGGCCTGTGGAACAGAATTTCGAGAGGCCAGACCCACCGAAAAGCACCACACACAAAATGGCCCCTACCAGGGGGGGCCGTGGAGCCAAGTTCGGTACCTGAGGGATGAGTAATGCTTATTCCTGTCGCGCATACCAACCATTTGCTGCCGTCCGACTGTGGACAACGAGACCGAGCATTCCAGTCTTGAAATACTATCACTTTCAATTGCTTTTTGAACGAGGACTGTGACAAAACAAACAAATAAACAAACAAATGAACAACACAAAGAGGAGTGTGAGAACATTATGGGAGTGAGGGGCTCGTTTGACACTCCTCCGGCCGTCCTCGGGGCCCGAGGAAATTCTGCCGTCGCCGCCCGAGGAAATTCGCGCCGTCGTTCCACTCATCCTCGAAATTGTTCCCCGAGGACGATTCCTCGGGGCCTTCCGCGGCCAGTTTCATGTATCGACGAGCGGACGCGGGGGGGAAGGGGCGGTTGGTCCATCAAGGTGTGTCTGTGCCGACGTTGGTCCAGCTCGGGCGGCCGTCGCGAAATTGGAAGTTCGCGGCCGAAAAAAAAATGGCTCGAAAAAGGCGTGCAGTCCCGGGTTCGAAATTCGAATTTCCGCAAGCGACCGTCCAGTACTGTGGGCGTCCCTGGCGGCTGACGGCAGCAACGTTCCTCGGCGGAAGCGTTTCGGTACGGGGTGGCGGCTGCGTTTCGGTGGGCACGCCGAACGTACATGCATGCGTCCGAAGCAGCAGACACGCCGTCACACGATCGCCGTCGTTGTCATCTTCGCAGGTGAGCTTCATCGTCGACGTGTACGCTGTGCACTCAGGTCGTCACTCGCAGCAGCCCTGTTGTGCGGCCCGCCACACGTGGACTCTTTTGCACTTGGCGACGCCCACGTCGACAATACGAGTTTCGGTGATAGCCATGAACGGGGGGCCGGGACATGACACACTGAGCAAGGCGGAGAGGACGGCGGTGGCAGCGGCCGTGAACGCCATCCTCTTCTGGTGTCAATTGCAGAGGGGCGAGGGGAGGATGAAAGCGGCCATTCACGCACGGCGGAAGAGGACGCTGCAGTCCACGAATGTGGAGGGGGATGACAGTGGTGCCGTTTGCGACGCCATGCTGCAGGTTTGCTACGCCATAGGGTGTGGAGCATTCCCCAGAGCGACGCCCAGGTGGTGGATGAAGCGACGGACAGGCGGGACGTGGGAAGATCTTCGGCAATGCGACGACGCGACAACGGACTACTTCAAGGACAAGCAGCGGCAGCCTTCGAAAGACGTCGGCCATGAAACGCGCGTGGACGACGCCAGCAGCTAGAAGACAACAGTGGATGCCCAGGAAACGGCGAGGGTCCGTGGCGCAAACGACCTATCGCAGCTACCGACAAAAGCAGGGTAACGTATTCCATCGCGGAAGACACTGCGCAATCGGGAGAGCGGGGGCGGGCTGAAGTATTTGAATCTGCCGACCGTTGGGCGCTTTCCCGCTACTGTTGAAGGGCAGCGACGCAAGGCAGCCCCTTTTCGATGTCGCGGAGGATGGTAGGCAGCCAAAGGGGACCGTTGGCGGAGTATTCCATGACGCTGACCGTTGCCAATCGGAGATGTCCGTCCACGGGCCGCCAGGAATAGCAATGGACCAGCCGCGTCAAAAATTGTCGTCGAGAGAGCTGCCGGCGACGCCCCGATTCTTCCGGATGCTCGACCTCCGAGGGACCTCGGGAGGTCCCTTGGGGAGCGCGTCGAAATGGCTGTAGCCCGAGGAATCCCCAAGGAAATGTTTTCACATTTTTTGTTCGTTTTCTTCCCCGAGGATAAGTGGAACGATGATTTCCTCGGGGATTTTACGCGCCCGAGGAGTGTCGAACGAGCCCTTGAGAAGAATGGAGTTTGAAAATAGCGAACGCCAAAGATTTAGAGATGCCCCACCCTTCTCCCTCCCCCGTTGCTGAACGTTGTTGCCCCCAAACAAAGAACGCTTCCGGAAGGTAGGAGAGACACTGACTCGGTAGAGCTCCGATATATCCTCCTATTGATGTTCCAAGGGATGGTGTTTCAGGAAGTGGCACTGAAGTTCATTGATTACACCACCAGTATTTGGCCCAGCTATTGGCCACGGGCCTTCCCCGTTAACACGCCGGCGCCTGTGGAGGTCGGCCAAGGGAAGGCCCGGTCGTTGATTCTTGGCCGGGTCCCGCCAACTACGGGATGTCACCTACGAATTGTAATGGGAAAAAAAAAAAAAAAACACTAAGAAAAAAAACGAAAACAAAGAAAAGAAATGGGTGTCATAGGCGCGCCGTAGAGAGAGAGAGAGAGAGAG